GGGAAAGTGTTGCTCCAGTCTAGGTTGATAAAGGCACGGTCTAGACGAGCTAAGACAGGTTCATCCCTTTTGTTCGTCCAAGTATACAGTCTATCTAAAAGGGGGAGCTCAATTAGGGATAGCTGATCAAGGGTATCATTGAACTTGGAAGCAAGGGAGGAACGGAAGTAATCGTTGTTCTTTTCTGATGGGGGAACGGATTAGGTTAAAGTCTCCGATAAGAAGCCAAGGTCCCGAGATGGTTCTATCAAGATCAATCAGCTCAACAAGGAAATCATCAGTGTAGGCCTGGTCGGATGGAGCATAAACATTGGTGACAGTGAAGGAGATCGAATCAATCAGAGATTCAAAAGAAATCGAAAGCGTATGATGACGAGAGATATACTAAGTTTTCAAGAGCAAAGTGCTATCCCAGGCATGAAATCAGCAAGATAGGTGGGAAGGAAAGCACGAGCTTTCGCAGGAGTAACAATAGCAAGCTTTGTCTCTTGCAACATAACTAGAAGAGGTCTTTCACATAATATATCATTAAGAACAACATCACATTTAGTCTTATCCCCTAGGCCTCTAACATTCCATGAAAGAACAGAAAGACATCGAGAGTTAGCAGCCATTGGAGAACCTAGTAGCACCATAGCTAAATAAGGATTAGATAGGAAGGGGGTTAGCCGAGTAGGGGAGGACCAACAAAACATCCCTACCCCGAGAGGCCCATTGCTTAAGCCGCATCTTCATCCAGCGTAGCTAGCACCTTGTTGAGCTGAGCAACATCATGGTCATCCAGGCCACAAGTGACAGCCAGATCTTTGAGCGCTTCAGGGGTGGTTGCAGAGTCCCAATCAAGTAGCTTATGCTTAGCCACCACCTGGTTCAGCTTGACAGAGCACTTGGAGAGTTATTCCTTCAACTTCAGTCTAGCAGCCTTCCCAGCAACAGTCTGAAAGCGAGCTGCTTCCTAAGCTGCCAGGCGACTGCTTTGCCTGCGCTTGACAATCTCCTCATTGGCTCGCTTCTTGTCGCCTTTGGTTTTCCTGACTGAGTAGGTCTGATCTGGTTCAGTGTCTTCATGAGGGAGATGTTCAGTCAGAGTCGGCAGTGATAAGTCTTTCAAGTGCCCGATCACTGGATCATCCACCAACTCTGTGATATGAACTGAACTCCAAACATGCAGGTTATCTTCAAACTGAGGAGGAGGAGCTGTAAGCGGAACAACAAAGTCATATTGGAGATTGTTCTGTGTCCCCCCTCCCGCATTCTGATTCTGATTCTGGGCTGACCAGGATTGATTGGAGGCGGCGGTAGTGGGGCTTGAGAGAAATGGCGTCCTGGGTTAGGGACAACAAGGACTGGGAAGTGGTGTGTGTATGTGCCATTGTCATCGAAGTTCTGACTCGCGTCCCATGTCCTGATGATCTTGATTTTTGCCACAGCAATATCACCATTTCGAAGCCACACAAACATAGCTGGAAGGACCGGCTGGCCCGGGTATTGTTGGACAACCAGACAGAGGAACGACATGTCGTCCCCATATACACATTCATCATCGATTTCAATCACAAAAGCAACCCCAATGAACAGGTTTCTGATACGGCCTGGAATGCGGTGTTCAGGGGGCCAATCCAGAACTTCCAACTCAGTTAACTTGTCAAGCGGTTGGTGAAAGCAGGTTTCATTGTCCTCAGGCTTCTCCAGGACAAGGATGTGCCCTTCTGCCATCATGGTCCCAGGGAAATCCACCGCAGCATCCCGATCCTCAGGAGTACTAAATCTGACAAACATAGCTCCCCTCCTAGCAGGGTTCAAGGAGAAGTGAATGTGAGGGAGGTACTCTCTCATTGCTTCCCAGATCACACGCGACGGTTCTGAAGCCGCAGGGTACAGGAACGCAGATGCATAGTGAGCAGTAATCCGCATGTCAGCATAGGGAGCAAACATGTCATAGTGGAGAGGGTACATGCGAAGCAGTTCTGCAAAAGCTGGATTGAGCTGAGCAAGAAACTGGTTGAGCTGGCCTGTCTGCGGGCTGTCGGCTGAGGAAATATCATCTGACTCAACCTCTATTGAGGAAGAGCTGCTCGGTGTCCCAGTTGGACGAGACCCACCCGACCCCAGGTGAGGTAAGCGAGCCCTCCTCGATGCAGGTGGAGGAGGGGACCTACTGTTGAAAGAGACAACAGGGACACGAGCAGGTCGGCTTGCAGTACCCGACTCACACATAAAGATGTCCTTCACCTCATCTGGTTCACTAATGACTGGCAGAGCAGCACCAACAATCGACAGGGGGGATTTCCCCTTCGGTCTAGACGGACCAGCAACCGCGGTGCGGTGAGCCGCCAGAATAGCCAGACATGGGTGGGGCAAAGGAGCAGAGGCAAACAGTTGTTCCAGATCAAAAGATACCTCATTATCCCAGTAGTTCAGACCTCCATCTTGCCCCTCGCTAGCAGCAGTCTGGTCCCCAGCCAGCATGTCAGCAGCAAAAGTTGCAGCCAGAACAGCATCTTCTCCACTGAGCACTTGAGCAGTCGCACTCTCCATCTTGACTGAGTGAAGCGAGTTAGGATAGGGTTTTTTTTGGAAGTGGTGTTGCAGGCGGAGCGGTGGTGGCGCAGGATTTTTTGATCCAGCGGCTTTGGAAGATGGATGGGCAAGTTGTTGGTTGGAGGGGATGGGTGGTACGGGAACTCGTGGGGATTTGCCCCGGCGAGAGTGAGGCATGGCAATCGGACTGGCGGTGCCCCATGCCACGGCAAGCTGCACAGACAACGGGGTCTCGGCAGTACTCAACTGTGTGGTCATGGCTCAAACAGCGGAAACAGCGATGGAACATGGAGAGGGGGGCTTTCCGCGGCGCAAGGTTGGAGGTGGACGAAGGGCTAGTAGGTGGGGCGAGTAACGCGTCGCGGTAAGTGCGGTGCTCAGTCCTGGAGGGTCGGCAGATGGGAGTAAATCATCGGTAGGCAGAGCAGCATTAGTGGCTAGAGTAGAGACTTCCTAAACTGGCATTAAGGTCGGAACACTGTTACTGCATGTATTTTGAACTGCCACGTCCAAGGCGGGAAGAAACTTTGACTGAGAGGAAATCTCATCCAGCTGATTGAGGAAATCTGATTTCACAGCAAGAACAGCTGATTAAATGGTGAGGTGGAGCGAGATCCCTTTCTGTTGCATCACTGACGAGCCCGACAAAATCATAGTAGAAGCCACATTGGAGCTAGCAACCTCTGTACGGAACAAGCCTAATCCCAAACTGACCACCAAGAAGGATTGCGAAAATGAACTGAACCAGAAATTCAGAATGTTCTTAATGGAGAATGAGTTAAAGCTAGAATTCCTAGAGGAGACTGCAATCCAAAGGGGAGCAATCCGGTCAGAGCGGTGTTTAAGATCACCCGAGGGGCAGACAGAGGAGTGAAAGTTGTGCAAAATGAGGCTACTGAAAAGGGCACTAGGTTTTAGAGGAGAAGAAAGGTGGGGGATAAACCGAGCGCGGGGACGAAGGCATGTCGAGGGGGGAGGGTGGGGAGTAGGGCAGACCTGTTGTCGACAGCTACAAGACGACGCTCGAGAGTTGGAGGGGCTCTCGCGCCAGCGGCGGAGTCGCCCCCAAAGTCGCCCTCAGAGTTGCCCCCAGAGTCGCTCATCCCTCCTCCTATCGTGGTCCAAAAATGAGAATTACATTTTTAGAGTAGGCGTTATTATTTTTATTTTAGACATGGTAATGTTTCAAGGTAGGTAATTTTTTTATGTGACGGAAATATGATTGTGGGGGAGAAGTGGAGGATGACTCATTTTTCACATAAGCGAAATTGAGAGTAGCTGAGCCCATAGCACATCAAACCCAAGCAACGAGGGAAGTTTATATAAAGAAGTATTTTTAAGAGCATCACTAACACCATCTCAAAATATACCTAAAATTTTAGTTTTGAGAATCCTAAAACAAAATTTTGAGGTGTTTAATTTTTCATTGCTCTAAAAGTTGGTTGAAATTGGCTTCCTAAGAATTAATAGGTAGGCCCCTCAAGAAAAGTCCAATAGAAATCATCCCTCCTTTCCCACGAAATCACGTTCGCACATGCAATTGGGAACCAAAGTGTGTCCCTATAAGTGGATAACGATGATTGCGGGCTAGGAAATAGAAGATAGTAGGAATAAGACTGGAGAATCGATTGGAACCGATTTTCAACCAAAAATTCTCAAATTACTAGATAAGAAATGATATTAAGATGCTATTGGAGATACTCTAAGTGATACTATCTCCTTTCCTATCATAAATTGTTTTATTTTTTTCTAGTCATACTTATTTAAGTTTAACCAAATAAATATAGTAGCACAACACATATAATAAAAATATTTTCAATGTTAGATTTAATGAAACTAATTTGGTGTTTTAAATGTTAATAAATTTTTCTATAGATTTAGTCAAAGTTAATAAATTTTACCTAAAAAAAGTTAAACGACTCATAATATGAAACTGTGAGAGTAGTTGGCAATTAACACTAATGCACTCTAGCTGTTGTAAATGGGCTACTTAATTTCCACGAAATTTTAAGGTACTCGGCAGACGGCAGATATAGGGTGTGCTTAGTTCTTTGGGTGTAAAGTTTTTGAAGTATACGGACGTACATTCGAAGTATTAAATGTAGACTAATAACAAAACAAATTACAGATTCCGCCCGTAAACTGCGAAATGAATTTATTAATCCGTTATTAGCAAATATTTACTGTAGCATCACATTGTCAAATCATAGCGTAATTAGACTCAAAAGATTCGTCTCGCAATTTACATGTAGACTGTGTAATTGTTTTTTTCCATATTTAATGTCTTATGCATGTGTTCAAACATTTGATGTGACGTTTTTGACCAAATTTTTTTTTATGTAAACAAGGCTTACATCGATTTGCACATAATTTCCATGCATTTTTTAAAGCATTTCGTACACACATTGACCAATTTGCCCGAGTACAATAATCGCCGCCGCCTTGGATCTTATCTTGAGAAAGGCTACTCTCTTCTCTTCTCTCTACTCCAGCTGCAGATTCTCCCGTTTGTTTCCCCACAGAAAAAGGGCGCCAGTTCATCATTCCTCGCCATCACATCCACCCGAAAAAAAACATGTCTTTTTTACTCTCTTTCTTCTTCTTCCCCCGATCCCAAATCCCTCCCTGTTCTTGCTGCTGCTCTCGAGTTGAGTGAGTTGACCCTCATCCTCCCCACCCACCCGAATCTCGCGGAGCCATTTCGCGTTCTTGGAGGAGTTGGGGAGTTTTGGTGTTTTTGGATCCGAGGAGCGTGAGAGTTCTTGGATCTCGTCGCCCTCCTCCTCCGGCAATGGCGGCGCTCGCGGAGCACCTGCTGGGTTTGTCGTCGGCGCCGGTGGACTGGGAGGCGGAGTCCTACCCGGGTTACGGCGACTTCGCCGTGCTCCCCTTCCTCGTCGCCTTCTTCCCCGCCGTCCGCTTCCTCCTCGACCGCTTCGTCTTCGAGGTAAAATCTGCGCATTGTCTCGTTAGATCCGAGATGCCCTTGGGATTGCAGTGTTGAACTGCTGGTGGTAGACTTGGGAGTTGTTAATGGATCGGTTTGATTATGTTAAGACTGTTAGATAAAAGGCATCTGCTTTTGGGTGTCAGAATTTTCATTTTCAATTATGCAGAGTTCTGGCGTGCAGATTTCATATGCTGTTGAAATTATGAGCATGGTGAAAATGAATGCAGTATCTTTCGATTCGGACTCTGCGCGATTGGATTGATAAAAGATGTGTTCATAGTTTGTTTTCATGTGAAGTTGGCTTCTTTTAGTACTAACAGTTAGCAAGTTGGTTGTGTGGTTGATTTGTTCCCTTTAATACAAAGGCATAAAGTGTAGGCCTTGATTGTGTTGAGTTGCTTTTAATTGGAGTACAAGGTGACACGTTTATGGTAACACTTTTAACCATCTCTGCAATGATTTGATACTAGCAGGATACAATTGTTGATGCAATGGTTGCATGTGTCATATTTGTGCAATACCTGTACTCCCTTGCATGCATATATTATAGACTTATCGTCTCGTTCAATTCGCAGTTATTAGCAAGAAGGCTTGTACTTGGAAAGGGGTATGACAAACTTGCTGAAACAGATGAAAGCAGGAAGAAAATTAACAAGTTTAAGGAGTCAGCATGGAAATTCGTCTATTTTCTTTCTGCAGAACTGCTATCACTGTCTGTAACATACAATGAGCCATGGTTCAAGAACACCAGAAATTTCTGGGTTGGGCCTGGTGAACAGATCTGGCCTGATCAGAAGACAAAGTGAGTGGAAAAAAAATAATCTATACCTGTGAAAAGGTTTCTGTCACACAGAGTTTTTTTTTCCTGTTTTCTACCTTATTGCAGACTCAAGCTTAAGGCTGTCTACATGTTTGCTGCTGGATTTTACACATATTCCATCTTCGCTCTTTTGTTCTGGGAAACAAGGCGGTCAGACTTTGGAGTCTCAATGTCTCACCATTTGGCAACTGTTGTTTTGATCGTTCTATCCTATATTTTCAGGTATATTCTGAACAATTTCCCAGATAAGGTAATTGTATGTATGGCATTCCAGCTCCACAAGCTATATTTAAATATTATTGTGTTTTTCGAACAGATTTGCTCGCGTTGGCTCAGTTGTTCTAGCCCTTCATGATGCTAGTGATATATTCTTAGAGATTGGGAAGATGTCCAAGTACAGTAGTTGCGAGGGGCTAGCTGTTGCAGCATTTCTTCTTTTTGTGGCTTCATGGATTCTTCTGCGTCTAATAATTTTCCCGTTCTGGATCCTAAGGAGCACAAGGTAAACTCATGCCTGCTTATATGCTGCTCTGGCATCTGGTGTTATCTACGCATCTCTAGCCATTTAGCGCTATAATCGAAAAGAGCACAACGGCACAACTACACTAGAAAGACTTTAAGAAACTTTGTTGATCAATGATCTGGTACCTTTTTCAGCTATGAAGTACTGCTGACCTTGGACAAAGAGAAGCATAAATTTTACGGCCCCATATACTACTATGTTTTCAACAGCCTTCTGTTCTCACTTCTAGTTCTTCACATATATTGGTGGGTACTAATATACCGGATGCTAGTCAAGCAAATTCAATCTAGAGGCCGTATCGGCGATGATGTTCGATCTGGTAATTGATTCCTTCATGTTACTGATTTAAATAAGTTTTATTTCTAGGACTGTATATTTATTTGTCTCATAAAACTGCTCACTATCAAACAGATTCTGAAGGTGAAGAAGATCATGAAGACTAATCTGTGGGCTGAATGCTTAACTGAAGAACTATATATAGTGATCCCTACATGAAGATACATCATATTGAATACCTGATTCCCAGACCAGATCAATTTTCAGTATCAAACATGGCAACCATGATTCACGAGTTGCTAGGAGGCTGCTTGCGCTGCCATATACTTTATGAGAAAAAGTTGATCAATGTTTTCCCCCCTTATATCCTCATTTATAAGAGAAATATGCAGGATAAGTTCGTTAATTCATTGGTTCATTCATGTAATTGTGCAGACGATTAATTAATTTACGGTGCAATCATGTAATGTTCTGTGGAACTCGATTGTAACTTGGTGTATCTTCCATTCTAATGGAAATTCTGGACAAAAAATAACCTGATATTCTTTACACATTCTTTGTTTCATTTTCCATCAAGTTCCAGGTGTCGTTTTCTTCTGTAGGGTTCTAACTTTGCCATCTATCCTGTCCACACAATCAAACATTTACTTTTGTACCCAATTCTTTAAAACAAATAAAACAAGAACCTGGGGAAGAAGCACAAGAAAGAAGGTATCAATGGAGGTTATAAGTTGAGAAAACTTGTGGTATTCACCGAATATTTTACAAGAAAACTGAATACCAGAATTAACAACAGTTAGGAGGCATGTCAATTACAATCTGAAAGATCCACAAAGAATAAATTGTGCCTACTCAATCTCAATTCTCAGTAAGGAAAGACCTCAGACATGAACAATGTTCACAATTTGCAATATATTCAATTGTGTAACTGTGTAAACAAAGTCAGTAGTATGTTCAGCAGGTTTAAGACGAATATTTTTCCATAAGCTTTTCGACATGTAGAATTATGTCATCGATGTGAGGGCGCATTGCAGGTTGTGGCTGAAGCATCCAGGTAATAAACTGATGAAGTGCATCAGGGTAAGGAGGGCTGGGTCCTGCCGGCCACTTCAGCGTGCAGTTGACAATGGCTAATTGCAAGCTTCCTCCAGATTCACCGAGAGCATACTCAAATGGTGAAACATTGTACCTAAGAAGGAAAATGATTTAAACAACAGATAATTATTAGGTAACCGCAGGCTATAACTCTAATGGATCTGTGCACTGCATTCTTTAAGATTAATGACGGGATAAGGAGCTTTATGAAATAAAATAGTTGTACTTGACTTTGAACTTCTACAACTTCTACAAAACTTGAGTTTAATCTTGAAAAGACTATTGCAGGATCACAATTGGTAATTACTTTCACCAAGTATCTAATATATATTCTTTAAAACTTTGATGGAATGTATTCCCCCAAAAAAAAATAATGGAATGATCATTTATGACATTGAATTGAGCAAAGTTGCCAATGCTGCTAATAACATGACATGCATGGTTAATTGACCGGAGTTTCTAAAATCGTGTAAGTAATTATGTGCCCAAGCAACTGGAACAATAGCAGACCCACAAACACTTAGAATGAAACTAACACATTGACAAGAGATGAACAGAATCAAAGATTATCATATTTTACTCATGAAGAAGACAAAGCGAACTTACATGATAGCATAAAGGGTGCATCCTAGAGACCAGATGTCTGTCCTCTCATCGATATCGGCATGACTTGGGCAGTCCCACAGTTCAGGTGCACGGTAAGGCGCAGAGCAATGTTCAGCGGCCCATTCCTATAGTAAAGCAAGATATGAACCGTCATGTCTAGACAGCAAAAGACCAATGGTTCTCCAAGTACTGGTATTCAACTTCTTCTGAGTAACAATTGCATGATAAAGTGAATACTAAGTTTTTACATGATTATTTGGCCTGGTATATCCACCAGTTTATGGGGAGATAAAAATACCAGTTATAATTCATAGTTCAAACATAATCACTCACAGCTGTAGAGAAATAAAAATTTCACCAGAAAGAAAATGCTCCTATGTACTAAAACATCTGAATAGGTGAACAGAATATCTTTCTAGGATAATGGGAAAATATCCCAAAAATTGAGAAAATTGAAAATCAACAAGAAGAGCTATCTCTTAAAATGCTAGGCAGATGAAAGAAACCTGCAATCGTAATGCTTCAGCACGAGAACGGATTTCTTTTCTTGCAGGCCTTGCACTTCCAAAATCCATTAAAGTTGCAAGAGGTGCTTGTCCTTTTCTGTGAGTTATAAGAACATTGCCAGTCTTAACGTCATTATGGGCATATGGTGGATCAAAACTGTGCATGTGCTTCAGTCCTTCACAGAGCTGTGATGATCCTTTATTAGTATACAAAGGGGAGGTGCGAGATGGTAATGAAATACTAACTATTATTCAAGCAAAGATAAGGAGATGATAATCCAGAACAGTTTTCTTACTTCAGCATCTCATCATTTAATGTGTGTTAGCAATGTCATTGATATGAAACAGCGTAAGAGAAACTGTTAAGATGATCATCTCTCTATAGACAAGCCCAGGAAGAAAACTAATGTGTTGTGAATTTTATTTTGACATGAAAGTTTAGAAGGAATGAGACATAAGAGCATGTACAAGAAGAAAAGAAAAATCAGTACTACACAAGAGAAGTCAAATCAGAATGGTACAGTTTGACTTTTGTGCTCATATTTTTGTTCTTCAGAAAGGTAACGGAACACTAAGATAGATAATTTCGTTTTGAGCATCTCAAGTTCTCAATCAACTGGGGCCAGTCACATACAAGTAATCAGTTCACCGTGACTTCAAATTTCTCAACGACATCAATAGTGTTGATATTATTGTCTAGTAAAACTGCTTACCTGTTGGAATATTCTCAAAACATCGATTGTTGAATAGAATTCCTTCCTGGATTGCATGACTTTGGCATTGTCAAACAGAGTACCATCGATATAGACAGGGAAGAGCAAGTAGGCTTCATGGTTCCAATCTCCCTGTTGATTCTAAATATATGAAATCCATAGAAGTCCTCTTAGAATGAAACAGACTTGCATAGTATACGGTAGGTAATAATTTGCCTAACCATTTGTGACCATACTTATTGCTAATTAACACTATGGGCTTATGGCAGGCCCTAAATATCCGCATTACAGAATCCATTTTGTTGCTGTATCTCTAGGATGTACTACCTAACTAACATGAAACAAGCATATGCTTCAGATATATCTAGCATAAATCCTACAATATCATCAAGCCCAAGCGCACAACCAACTCGCCAAAATCACAGCGATTTCCTTAAATCTTTCACATTTCCTGAGACTTGTCATCCTCTATCACGAAAAAAAGGCGCTGAACAGCATGTTACCTTAACTGCTATCACGGCATGATCAAGAAGCGGAAGCAGGTTAGGATGGTTGAACAATGACGAAACACGGATCTCCTCCTTCACCAGATCTAGCTGTTCCTTGCTCTGTATCAGCACCTTCTTCATAGCATATGTCCCATCCTCTGTACCAACGGTTAAAACATACACGCATCAGAAATCTCTCAGGACTCGAAACAACTTCACAATAGTAAATAATCTCCTGAAAATCCCAGATTCACCCCATCTATTCCAATGAAAGAAACTCTAATTGGGTTACAATAAGCTCTGAAATTACAGAAATTCCACTCATTCCATCACAACACTCTTACTTGATTACTCGAAGTGGATCATGAACACAATTTACTACATGGTTTCGATCAGAAAACCCCCAAGGTAAATTTTCAAAGTCTTGTCCACCAAGCGCAAATCTTATGCGGAGAACCTTCGAGCAAACCAAGAACAAACAAACACGAGGGCGAAATCAAGAACTCGCCAAGAGGCGCGGGGGCGGTGGGGTTGGAGCAGGATCGAGCGGGGAAGAACCTGAGGCGAGGGAGGGGCTCCGGCCGCGGGCGGCGTCGGCGGAGGCCTGGTGCTCCCTGACGAGGTAGACGAAGGCGAAGCCGCCCTCCCCAATCTGGCGCAGGACGCGGAAGCGGCGCTCGTTGATCCACACGTCGCCGCCGCCCGTCGCCGCGTCGTAGAGGGCGTTGAGCCCCGAGATGGAGCAGCCCATGCCCTCGCTCGCCGCCGGCGAACTCCAGCGGCCGCGGCCTCTGGTCTCCGGTGAGCTTCGGTTCGGTTCGGCAGGTCCACCAACCAGTGGAATGAATATGACTTTGCGTCTTCTTCACTTGCTCTCGTTTCATGTTCTTCAATTTATTTATTTATTTATTTGTTTGTTATTTACTGTTGGTTTAGGTTGACCTGATTTTATTACTTTTTGTAATTTTTTTTAGAATTTGTTAAAGGGGTTCTAAATGAATGTTGCAATTTTGGTTCAAATTTAGTGATTTGTAAGCAGGGTTCCTAAAACCGATGGAAACAGGTCCGGATTACTAGGTCGAAAATACAAATTGCTCGGTTTTTTGTCAAGTTTAAAATGAAATGAATTGAATGTTAATATATTTTTAACAAGATTTGTATGGATTTCATTGGTTTTCATCAGTTTATTACTAGCAGTTTGCGCGAAATCCCCTACATAATATATGCTGCAAATTATTCCTGTACTTTTGGGACGTGCAAGATGGTGCTTTGCTTCAGAAAGCATCTCATCTCAATTCGTCAACGGTTGGCATGTTAGCACCTGAGGTCAAATCTTTACCTGCAAACCCTAGGTCTTACTCATAAAGCAGTTTCCATCATCTCTTTGGAGGGGTCTGGTACATTGGATCCAGTAAACAACTCCGATCAACAGACTAATGTAGAGATATCAAAATTCAAGCATTGGATGGTTCATGCTAATAGACCAACTAGCATCATCTAGACCGGAGCTTTCAAGAACCCCAAGCATTCATATTTTGGTTTCATATTCTGATGAAAATGGAAGTTCTCCCAAGAACTGAAACAACCATGGGACTTCAGGATTCGAGTGAGACAAGTCGTCTGGCAAAATGGTGACTGATATCCCCCATAATTTTTTTTTCTTTCCAGAAGATGTTCTCAAGAAAGAAGCATCACAAAAACACCAATATTTCTGTATGGATTCATTGAAGCTTAATCACATCAAGCAATTTTTGGTGGCCGTAACAGATGATGCAGGTACATTCGGAAAAAATCTGGATCACAATGAAACACAAAGAACAGCTGAAATGAAACCTATCACGCAAGGGAACCAGACTTCCAACAAAAAAATAAGGATGGATACTGAAGCCTGAAGGGGGGGTGTTCATACTCCTCCAAGTCGACACAACTTTTCGGTGGATTGGATTGGATCAACAAAAATCCTGTATTGATGAGTGGTCATTGAGCACCAGCATGTTCATCTCTTTTTGCTGCACAAGTTGTGGGCAGGACCACAGAGCCAATCTGACACCCAGGCTCCGTCAGAGAGCAATGACTGATACAGAAACCATGATATGGATGAAGCAAAACAACATCCAGATCTTCACTCTCAAGAGAGATTGAGAGAAGCAGCAGGTAAATGTCGAACCAACTCTGATACCATGAATTGTGCAATTCATATGAATTGTACCAATTTGAGTTCCCTTCTTCAAGGACAAAATCCTAGGGAGTACCAATTGGATGTACGGTAACGACGTTGTTGAAGATGAATTAGTTGGCATCCACAGCAGGACTGATTAGCAGTTGTCAGGCTTAAGCTGGAACACCGTTGCAGGAAGTATGTACATTTGTACAAAGACTGTGATGAGACATCTGGACCTCAGGCATAGCAGGCTCACCTTACAGCATCACTACTGCTGCTGATCTGTGGAGAAGAGAAAGCGCTTGATCAAATCTTGAGGCTGATATCACGAAGAGCCAAGTCTTGCAAATTGATTGATACTTCACAAGAGCGTACGAGTTGCCTTCCTAAGATCAGAAGAACATCACTGTAACTGCAATGGAAACCATTGGTTTCAGATTTCATCTTACTGTAAACCAATGTGTTGCACAGCATTGCCATAACAACCAAAGTAAGTGTAGCGATATGAAGCAGCACATAAAGATTCTGATCGAGTCTGAGAATTGGTACAAGAATGATTCTAAAAGAAGGGTGTCTAGAGCATACCTTGCTGTGTTCCTTTTGAAGGATTATTTAGCACAACTATCCTCCATTCATATGTCTTTCTAGAAAGCACAAATAGTATTTTTCTTCAACAAGGGTATAACAATAGAACACATAACACTGAGTAGTCATCAATAGTTATTCGAAATAAAAGCTAGCAATATTTAGGGCAGGTGTGTTTCTGGAAAGGCAAACATGGAAGTTGGCTATGAAGTAAAAGATCGGGAAAAAACAAGATAGATAGCTGATGATACAATCAGAAAGTGCTGTTAAAAAAAAAATCTGAGAGTGGGTTCTTAATAAATATGATGCACAAAACCAGCAACTCTGCCCCCCAAAAAAGCACCACCACTCATGTCATAATCAAATTTCATCTGTTATAAACGGTTGCCATTCAATCTTTTTCCTTGAACAGGCAGAACTCTGCACCTGTTATTACAGGAGTAGTCCAGTGCATACAGCTAAATTGGCCTATCCATATTAATGTGGTAGCATGTAGCAGGCACATATCTAAATGGTATGATGTTAGAACCAAAATTTATTAGAAATGCATGCTTCACTGTTATGTAAAAAAGGTCACCTAAAATGGCAACAATAATTCAAAGTAAAGTAAAAACTGAACAACCTCTCTTTCTCAACTCGTCATATCAATTTAGCATCATAATAGGAAGTTAGAAACAAGCACATCAATTAGAAGTCAGACAAGCATGTGCTGTAAGGAGGTTTCAATACTGCATTTATTTTAGCTAATTACAATTCACGGTAAAATAGGCCACTCTAAGTCATTGACCAGCTAAAATTCATCAACGGAAAAGGAAAAAGGGGCACAATTTTGTAATTCTGTGAACTGCGGAACATCTGGAAAACAAGTGATGAACACCATTATCACTGTATCTGCTTGATGAAGTAATCTTTGCGCAGAGGAACTATGCTTTCAATGAAAGTATGTGTGCTAAAAGGAAACTCAGATTCTGGACATGCCATCTTCAGTTCAGTGGAGCTTGAACTTGGATCATAACAGTAGAGGTTCCGAGCCAACAACTGAACCCAAATTTTTCCCTCATGGAACAAAGTGTGTTTTGGAGTAAAATAACATGAAGGCATCAACCATGGCAATGAGATGTGGTATCTGTGCGTCCAGGTTGTCTTATCACCACTATCAAGCATCAATATGTCCATTGTACGAGGTGGATTATCATGTCCACCCTCCACAACTAGCAAGCATAGCTTTCCCTCAAGCTCCGCCAAAGAGCAATGCCCTCCATACGACTTGCGTGGGGGAAGCATCATCACATCAAAATTTTCGCTCTCAAGATTCAAACAATTGATACGTGACGAAGCAATGTAACGGAACTTTGTCAGATAGTACACTGCTCCATTCACATGCACCCCTCTATCTGTCGGTGCTCCATGGAAACTCCCAATCTGTCTCCAGGATTTATCTCCAATAGTGAATATCTCGCAGCACACATTGAAAGAATCAAAATGAGCTCCCAGGTAGAAATGTACCACTTTGTGCTCCTTCGTAGACGGGCAAAACCCCAAGCAGTGCCAATTACACGACGAGAACTGGCTGCTCCCTGCGGTATACATCGGCATCGGCAGAGTAGCCGATTCGCCGGTCGTCGGGTTGAGCAACTGCACGGCTCCTGTGCTGTCACCTAGGCAGAGCAGGCCATTGCAAGAATTGTGCACAAAGAGGCTCCTCGAAGCCATGGGCCTGGTCAGCTGGTAGGTAGCCCCCGTGTCGTCGGCGAGCACCATCGCGAGGGACCTATCGTTCGCCTTGTCGTTCGCAAAGAGCAGGAGCTTCTGCTGGCTCCTCTTGAGGTGCTCGTGGACGAAATGGGGATCGGTGAGCTCCGACATCCATGACTTGCAGACAAGCCTGCACGACGCGAGGGTGCGCGCCGGCAGCCTGTGGAAGACCTCCGTGAGCACGTCACTGCAGAGCAGGCGGTGGTCATTCCTCTCAACCGTCTTGGCCTTCTTCCCTCCCATCGTCGAGCCTCCCTGTCCTCGCATCCACCAAACAATCCACACAGCATCTTAGCACAAACAAGAATCACCTAGTATTACAAATCCGCAAGAACCCTAACGAAAATTCTCATCGCACCATACCTATCATCCACAGCGGAGAGAGCCCCCACGGCAGGCGGAGGCGGCGGCGCAGGGATGGATCAATCTAGTTGTTAGTTGTTCTTCCTGAATCCAAGAAACACAAATTTAGCGCAAACTAAACCAAGAAACCAAACAAATCCGAACCCCCCAAACGCAACAAATCACCAGAAGATACCCAAACCCGCATTGCCCCCTCCAAGATTCTTCCTCCGGTGACCTAGAACCAAACACCTCACGCGGTAGGTGGTGCCTAGCTGCCGGCAGAAAAGAATAGAACCAGAGCCAGCCAAGCCCGCCCCAACGAACGGACCAACCTACCTTCCGCCCAAACCGAACTCAATCAATCAATCAATCACCCCCCCACCACCGCCCCCTCGTTCCAATCGAGGATCAGAAAATTCACAACAACAACAACAACAACAACAACAAAGGGGATAGGAGAGGCCGCCGAATCGCCGGAACAGAAAAGAAAACTACAACAAGAAGAAGAACAGCGCGTCGTGCTCACCACCGATCGGGGGGCGGCGGCGGCGAATTCTCCTCTCCCCGCTTCCGCCTCGGCGGTTGCTTTTCGTCGTTTCGGAAGGGGGAGGAAAAAGGAGGAGGAGGAGAGGAGGGGTGGATTGGTATTTGTATATACTCCTCTTTGTAAGCAGCGAAGAAGCAAACCGCTCATCGCGGGGGGGCGGCGTCGCCGTGTCGAGCCGGCCGTGGGGCGCACGAATCTCGAGGCGGCGGCGGCGGCAGGAGGGCCGTCGATATATGGGATGGGGGCGAGGGAGTCGCGATCGGCGGTCGATACGATAGCGATGCGGTTTGGGGCGAGCGGTTATGCCCCTTTTTTAATCTAAAAAAATAAGGTGCTAGGAGGACTGGAATAGTGATGTTTGATTAGTGTTTTTATTAAGTAGAGGTGTATTTTGATGTTCGGTTTCATTTGAAAGTATGTTTTCTTTGGATGAGAATGGGTCGATATATACTTTCTGTCTATCTATTAATTTGATGATGTTTATGAGTTTTAAAGAAAAATATAGAATATGAATTATTAGGATGTAAAATTGGAGTCCTCTAGATTTTTATTATAGGGGTAAAATTGTAGAGGTGATTAAATATAAGTAAAAGATTTGTTTGGGGGGACTTCTATTGTTGTTCACGTAAGGAAATTAACCTAGAAATTCCCGCGCATTTTGCATGGCGCCATGCAAAATGAGGGTGGCGGCTTACAAATAAATTAGACGTGGCCGGGTTTTTTTTTGTCATCCTGCTGACGACCGCTAGCCTACACTAATAGGTCAGCATGGCCTGCATAGTGTAGGCGTCGCCCAATCGTCGATACTATAATGCCTTACTTGTGCTTTGTCCCCCCCCCCTCCCCCCCAATCCTCTCTCTCGGTTCTCGCCCTCTTCCTCTCTACATCTCGTATCCTCACATGCCACGCGCAAGAATAAGACATGTCCTCATGACAGCAGCCAAAGAAAAGACGATAATTTACAACAAATCATGACCTACACCCTTACCACCATAAGTGTTTTGCAAAAGATTACGTAAATACTAGTTAAAACGGACATAATGAAATGTGATAATGACGTAATCTTTTGAAAAAACTTATGGTGGTAAGGGTGTAGGTCATGATTTGTTGTAAATTATCGCCTTTTCTAGTTGCAACAATTGATCTCGTTGTGTTGGTTAAGTGACTAAGTAAATTGTGGTTTCCTTCTTTCGTAACAAAAATTTAGTTAGCTTTTGTCCGCCATCTAGCAAAAAAAAGCGCATGAAGAATGATTAGTCTAATAAACTTGTATTGTGGCCAACTTAGGCCGTGTTCGGTTAATCCCTCTCACATAGGATTTGAAGGAGAATAATTCCACACTTTTATTGATGTCTAGAACTAATCCTACTTAATTCTCTCTAATTCATTCGTTTTACGAATTAATCCAACAGGGCCTTAAAAAACCATAATCCTTCATGCCATTTTGTGTGGTGCATATCAAATGTGCTGCGAATAACAGCAGCGACAGTTCACCATGCTCTTTTTTTTAAAGAAGCTTCAAATGTCAGTGAGTGGGAATTTGTAAATTAGTTGAAAGTAACAAGCTCCATATTCACAAACTCTTACCATCTTTGTTTCATTGTTTGATCGGTACAAAATTAAAACCAAGATAAAAAGAAGTCAATTTTCACAAAACTTTAAATTATGAGCTTTAATTATGAGGAAGAAAAAAAAGAGCTCCAAATTATAACTAAATAACCAAAAAAATGCTTACACAAAGCTTTTCATGCAAATTAACATAATAAAACCCATACTACCAAAACTAGCTTATAGAAGCCTTTTAGATTTTTTTTCCCCTCAATAGCCTCTCAGTCAAAACATGATACAACACTTAAAAATGGTATTGTACCCTCCCTAAAAATATACAATATCTCTAACGTACTGTAGCATTATGTCATAACTTAATTAATGTTTTTTGGAAATATCCAAGAGTTTCAACAACCACAAAGGGAGGATAGCAAGGTCATGCATGGGTCATGGATGGGTGTCAAACTGTCAACTCTAAACTCAAGATTGCCTGTGATGAGTGACATCCTCGTCCATGTGGGACGGTGCGCATAAACAAAAGGCAAGTCTGCTAGCCACCTGTCAGACGCCCACACCGACGCAACACGATAAGCGGCTTTCACTTTTCAATCTCCTGATGATACAGGACTGCATGTAGCTCAGGTTCGTATCACCGTGAAAATGTCACCAAAATTAATTTATTTTCATATAGACATTTGCAAAAATTCTAGAGTACGTTTAGCTCAGGTTTATGGCACTATTTAGGCTGTGTTCTTATCCCCTCTTTCCCAACCAACTTCTCTTGTTTTTCACGCGCACGCTTTTCAAACTGCTAAACGGTGTATGTTTTGCAAGAGTTTTTTTATATGAAAGTTGCTTTAAAAAATTATATTAATCCATTTTTTAAGTTTTTTCCTAATACTTAATTAATTTCACTATAATCGTGTGCTTTGTTTTTCGTAGGGGTGGGCAATAAAAGTCCGAACCGAAAAGACCAACACCGAGACCGAGAAATTTGATCCTAGGCAGTGAAAAGCCGAATTTTGTTCGGTCAATTCAGTTAGTCTCCTCGGTTAACCAAATAGACCGAAAAGACCGAATTAATAAAAAAAAGTCTAAATGCAACCTACAATCCACTAAATTCAATAGGATTAAACTCTAATTTTCACATCCCTACTTCTTCTAAGCATGCAACCTAATAAGAGTTTTTACTCATACGTGTGTTTACAATTTTTTTTTGTGATTTTTTGTTTAAAATTTCCATTATTTCTTTGCATATATGAAAATGTTGATGAATTTCGGTCAGGACCGAGACCGAGACTGAATTTGTTGGTCCTGATATTTTTGCGTTGAAATTCGGTCTTCACTTTTCAAAGACCGAAATGACCGAAAGACCGAAGACCGAGACCAAAATTTTCGGTTAGACCGAATGACCACCCCTAGTTTTCCGTGTCGGGAGGCAAGGTTGGCAACCATGCCTCCCGAACACTGCCTTAGAGGGGCATAGGATTATGAGAAACGACTAATGAGTATCTCAAAATAGTTTTGTGCCTCCTCTATAACTACAATCTCAAAATCTACTCCCTCCATCCTAAAAGGAATCAGTTCTTAGCTACGAATCTTTGGTGGTGTTCTTTTCTCCTGAAGATGAAGATGAAGGTTAAGTTTTTCACGTAAAACGAGGTGGTATTAACGTAAGATTGATTGAGTTTGAATAATTACAAACTTGAAAAATAGATTAATATGATATTTTAGAGCAACTTTCATATAGAAAGTTTTCGCACGAAACACACCGTTTAGCAGTTTGAAAAGCGTGCCACAAAAATCTTAATCTTCATCCAACTCTTGTTGAACAAAAGAACAGGACCGACATAAGGCACAATATACTCCCTTCATTCCCCCCCCCTCCCAAAAAAATAAAAAACCTAACCTAGATAGGGATTTGACACCATCTGGAACTGTCTAGATTCATTATCCTATTCATTATCCTTTGTGATGTCAAATCCCATCCTAACATACTATGTTAGTTTTTCTTAGGACAGAAAAAGTAGGTTAGTTTTTCTTGGGCCAGAAGAAGTATGTTTTTTTTTGATGGAGAGATTACATGGGAATCTAAATTATTAATAGGACTTGAAGGTGCTAGAACAAACTGCGATTGTTAGAAGATCCCTCTAACAGGGCCTATAATTATATTACCGTGTAAAGGACCGTGTTGAACGCAAGAATTTCACCTGAATTAAATTATTTTCGTAAAAGACATTAAAAAATTCCAGCGTTCCAAATATTAGCTAGTCTATTATACAGGGCAAGGGATAAAGCCGGTCACACGCTGTCCTTTTCACGCATTGCTTTAGTGAAAAAAATCGTATCCATGATGAAACCAAAGATGGCAAGGGCACATGAGTGATAGGACAAACTGAAAATGACAGGGTGCCCAATCGAGAACTACAGCCTTGCATTGCATACATGAGAAATTAAAAAAAAACATATCCTCTTCTCTCTTCAGCTGGATCCATTTCGGCCAACCAAATTAGAGCAAAGTGGAAGTGTGCCAGTTACTAGATACATACCTTTTTTCTTCTCCCAAGTAAGGTATGATTGTAATGACTAGGTGTCATCCACAGGCTTGACAATCAGTCGCTTGCAAAGATATACCTGATACCAGTTTCAGCATTTGGTCCTTTCGCTAGAATGCAGTCTTTTGGAACAATGCAAGGGACACACCACATGCATGATGGAGATTGGTTGTCAAACAGCAGGCACTACATTTGGAACCAATCATTTTCAACACAATGTGATGAGTTTTTACAAACAGGAAATCATAAAGGTTTTCAGAAAAACAACCAGAAATTATGTGCGATTCTGATTTTTCTGGAACAGGTTTGACATCAAATAACATTAGGGGCAAGCACTTATGGCACACAAGGAAGATATGATCTGAGATTATATTGTGTTACAGACTCAGCATTGATGGACATGAGACAAGTTTTCTTATTGAGAAGCTAAATGCTGCGCTTTGCGTCTTTTTTTTACTGCTGAGCCTCTGGCTCCTTTTTCTCCAAATACCTGTAAAGTATTTTCATGTTTTTGTTAGCTTCAGTATTGTCCTTTTCGTTGATCAAAAGGAACTTCGCCATATGTCCCAGCAGACATATATACGAGTACATGTTTTATCAACTACAAACTGAATTTGCTGCCGACATCTTACCCCTGTGCCCTAGCCCACCGAGACATCTGATAGAGCTGAACCGATTCATTGGAAGCATGGCATGCTAAAAGTAAATAGTTCCGTGGTTGTACCATCCAGGCAAATCTCATAAAGAGTCCTGAATACACGCACATGGCTGCATCGAATGGAGATAGTATTAGATAGGCATGGGCATAGGTTAATGCTGAAATAACTCAATAGGTCTAGATGTTATGTAGCATATCAAGGAGCAAATATCAAGAACTATACCGACCTGCTGTCATATTGCCAGATATCATTTCAGGAGGTTTGTTCATGTCAACCAAACCCTGCAAGCATAGTAATATAAGTTATCAGAGGGATCATTGGATAACATTGAGCATACAACAAAGGAATGGAAAGACGAAATCACGAAATTAAAGCACAATTATTTGTGTATATGCTAGTAACACAGTCCACATTATAGCATGCAAGTGATTGCTAACCAAATCTTGTTGCCCATTGTGCATTATGATTGCACACTTACTAGCGATGCCTAAAAAGACAGAGACTACTATCAAGCTACCACAGTGAGTGTTAATTTGTTTTATCGAGTAGCAAAAACTGTCAAAAGCATTCAGCTAACAGGTGAATCCAAGTTCCGACTTGGATGTACTTAATAAATACATGCCAGAGTGCTGGACCATGTGAGTGGACACAATTTTACTTTACTGCTAACACCATATTTACTGGTTAGACTGATCCTTGACAACTACTCCAGGAGACTTGCTAAACTATCTCAATATCCATCAACCCACATTAATGAATAGTTGAAGTTAGAACGTAGAGTAGCCCATTAGTGGATAGAGCAAGAAGGTGATTTTTCATACAGATCAGGTTATTCACACTTCAGTACACTTCAATATGTAAGATGAAATCAAATGTACTTTTCACAAGAATAAAACAAACCAGATGTTTTGACGGCTAAAAACATTAACTAGTTTTCAGATGCAACAGAAATGTACCTGCGCCAATGCTCTATTGCAAGCAAAATAAGCATGGTCCAAACCAGAACCATTTCTCAAGAATTCAGTATTCCAACAGAATGTTGCAATGGTAATAAAACAGACATGTTGCCTTGGCACCTCAAAATACAAGCGTTGTTGCAGTGACCTAACATACTCTAGCCTGTTTCAGTAACTGCACATAGAATTGGTACATCTAAATCACATAGTTGTTTAGTGGATGACAGCAATCGTAGCTTTCAGTTTTACAATCATAGCAACATGGTCTGAAAAGTGGATAACCCGATGTGACAATCAGCAGTTTTACGCTGTTCTAAAGAAGAAAATGCCACCTAACAGACATAACATGAAAAAACCAGTGAGCTTCTACTCGATTTCATGCTGCGCTTTTGCACAAATCATCCGAGAACATTTTTCTCATAACACAGAACGCTTTAAGAAGGCGTCATCGAGCAAACAACTGCTGCATCTTAATAATTATCAACACTGAATTATCGATAGAACATAGGGGCAAACCAAGAGATGATTGTGCGCGTACCGCGAGGACGAAGCCCCAGTTAGCAACGGGCCCCCAGAAATGGGTGGTCTTGGGGCCGACGGGGCTGTTCAGGAACGCCTTCACCGCCGTCGACATGGCCAATCAATCAATCCTCCAGCAAATTCAGCCGCACCTGCGCCCACACCACACCACCAAACCGAACCCTCATATCACTACCAAAATCACAGAAACCAAGCACGCATCCATATCCATCCATGCATCCAATCCATCCTCATCCTAGAATGAACCTAACTTTCCCAAATCAGCCCGAATCCCAATAATACCGCCCCCAACAACCCTCAATCCCTAACCCAACCAAAGAACCCCCTCACCCTCCGTTCTCGCACCACGATTTCTTGGGAATTCTGGTCCGGAAGAGATTCTTGGACCACATGGATGGAATCAAATCTTTCCAAGAAGGTTGGAGAGCGAGAGGGAGAGGGGGATTACCTCGTCGTCGGTCGTCGTCGTCGTCGAGGTCGGGAGGCGGCGAGGGGTTGAGAGAAGATGGGGAACCAGCCAAGCCAACAGCCAAGGATATGCGGGGGAGATTGGATATGGGCTGGGCTTATGGGTTCATGGCCCAACATGGCGTGCGAACGGAGGCCCATTCGTACTGATTCATCCGGCCCGTTTGATGGCCTTCTCCAATCCGGGCCTAGCCTTGTTTTTTTTTTGGAATAAGTTCATCTAAGGTCCCTTAACTTGTCAACGAATCCAATTTTCGTCCTTCAACCACAAAACCAGATACAACGGGTTCTTCAACTATCAAAACCAGCGCAGATGAGATCCCTCGGTGGTTTTGACGGTGGTTTTGGCTGACGTGGCACCTATGTGGCAAATTTGACTTAGTCTTCATCTGATGTGGCATTGACGTGGCGCATACGTAGCAATTTGATCTGGAAAAATAATAAACTTCGTGGGACCCACATGTCAGTCTCACACATAAATCAATAAAAGAATGGTGGGGCTCACGTGGGCCCCAATGTCAGCCACAAGTCCCTCTCGGCTCTCCTTTCTCCTCCTCTTCTCTCTCCCTCGTCCTCGCGGCGGCGGCAGGAGCATGCCGGCGGACGGAGCGGCGGAGGGGCGGGCGGAGCGGCGGCAGGCCGCGGGCGGCGGAGGTTGCCGGAGGAGGAAGAGGCAGAGGAGGAGGTCGCTAGCGAGCGCGACAGCTACACTCCGTTGGCCGCTCCGCCCGCGATGCCCAGTTGAAAGGCGCTGCCCTCCTCGCTCGGTCGCCGCGCGCCGCCTCCCTCCTCGCCTTGCCGCCACACGCCGCCTCCCTCCTCGCCCGACCGCCACCGCCGACATCCTCGATGGTCACATCTGGGTCGGAGCTGCCCCTCCCCTCGCCCGGCCGCCTCAAAAAACCCAAGCTTTTGCCGCCGCCCCGACTGGCTGACCATCCCAAGAAAGAAGGCACCTCCTCGTCGCCTCTGCTGCCTCCACACTGCCCGCGGCGTGAGGGCCCTAGACCTCCGGGAGGGCTCCGGCGAGGTCCCGGCGGACCGCGAGTTGGAAATGCAATTAACAGATTCAAATATTCAATTCGCTTCTTGATTGAGCAAGTTATAGGTGCAAGGATTTTACTTATATGTATAATGAAGCTATTAATATTCCCTCTTGTGATGCTATATTTGCGATATGCTTGGCTCTGTCTGGATATTGGTTGCCGCGAGCTTTACTTATATGTCTGCTGCTGCTAGCCGTAGTTGACGAGGAGACGCAGAGCGGCGAGATGTCCTCGAGGGCATCACGCTAGGCAACGCCCTGGAGAAGGAGAAGAGCAAGCTACGTGGCGGCGATGACCCGTCGCGCTGGTCCGACGAGAAGAGCGGCAGCGGCAGGGAGTGATCAAGCCTGGGATGGCACGGCGATCCTCGGCACGAGCAAGCGGTACTGCGCATATGCGAGGAAGGCTCGTTTGGCGACGGACGGCCGTGGCAGTCCGAGGGTTGGCGGGGAGAGGAGGGGCGGCAAGCCGGCGGCGGGTTCGGCCTGGTCAACGGCGCTGCCTCCCCATGCGCTGCCTCTGCTCGTCCTCCGTCTTCAGCACGTCGCGCGGCGGGTTCGGCCTGGTCAACGGCGAATCGGCGATGGCGGGGCGGCTGGGTCCAACGATGAGCTCCGTGAGGGAGGAGGCGAGCTCCTTGTGCTCCGACGGAGGAGGGGCTCCCACTCCGTCCCTTCGTACTCGGGTTCCGGCGACGAGAACGGTGGTGGTGGTGACGAGAACGCCGCGAGCTTCCATGGCAGGTTCTTGTCGCGTCCGGTGCGGGCGAGGAGGGTGCGGGGGAGGAGGTGGCGTGGCCGCCGTGTTCCGTCTCGCCGCCGGCGCCATCCATCGGTGGGCACCGGTCGATGCCATCCACGAGAGAGAGAAGGGTGAAGGCCGAAGGGGAAGATGAAAGGTGATGAGGATAGGGATGACATGTGGGGCCCACGTGGGTCCCACCATTTTTTAATTATTTTGTGTGTGAAGCTGACATGTGGGTCCCATGGATTTTATTATTTTTTTCATATCAGATTGCCACGTAAGCGCCACGTCAATGCCACATCAGATGAAGACCGAGTCAAATTAGCCGCGTATGCGCCACGTCAGCCAAAACAGCAATCTAAACCGCCGAGGGACCTCGTTTGCACCGGTTTTGATAGTTGAGGGATCTATTGTATCTGGTTTTCTGGTTGAAGGATGAAAACTAGATTCGTTGACAAGTTAAGTGACCTCAGATGAATTTATTCCTTTTTTTTTTCAATCCGGCCCCTGTTTCTGCAAAGCCAGAGGTGCCTGTAGAGAATCTAGAGGTGCTGCTGCTGCAAAACTGAAAAATCACTATCACAAATCCAGGATACAGCAGTGAGCGTAATCTCACGCTTCATTCATCTTAAAGTATAATAACCCATAACTAGATTAGATAACTTAAAGCCCACCTTATTGGCTTATATGATTTATATGATTTATAAACCAGTGGATTTAAGTTTAGTATTTCCTCCGTTTCACAATGTAAGTCATTCTAGCATTTTCCACATTTATATTGATGTTAATGAATCTAAACAAATGTAAGTCATTCTAGCATTTTCCACATTTATATTGATATTAATGAATCTAAATAAATATATATGTCTAGATTCATTAACATCAATATGAATGTGCAAATGCTAGAATGACTTACATTGTGGAACGGAGGAAGTAGTGAAGTTTAGTAGTGAAGGTATATAAGTTATACCTAAGTCAGAAACCCTTTTTTAAACTAGCTTTTGGCTTAATAGTGTTAGAGTGGCTCATGGCTTAAAAAATCAAACGAAAAGATTGCTTATTTGTTTAGGATTAGATTTTTTGGTTTATAAACCTAAACAAAGAGGATATTAGTAATGTAAAACTGGACATGGAGAAAATTAGGCCCTGTTTAGTTCCCAAAATAAAAAATTCCACGCTGTCGCATCGAATGTTTGAACACATTCATGGAGTATTAAATGTAGGAGAAAAAACAATTACATAGATTGCGTGTAAATTGCGAGACGAATCTTTTAAACCTAATTGCGCCATGGTTTGATAATGTGGTGCTACAGTAAACATTTGCTAATGATGGATTAATTAGGCTTAATAAATTCGTCTCGCAATTTACTGATGGAATATGTTATTAGACTACGTTTAATACTTCAGATGTGTGTCCATATATCCGATGTGACAATTAAAACCAAATTTTTTTCCCAACTAAACAAGGCCTTAGGGTGTGTTTAGTTCTTTGGGTGTAAAGTTTTTGAAGTATATGAACACACATTTGAAATATTAAACATAGACTAATAACAAAACAAATTACAGATTCCGCTTGTAAACTGCGATACGAATTTATTAAGCATAATTAATCCGTCATTAGCAAATATTTACTGTAGCATCATATTGTCAAATCATGGTGTAATTAGGCTCAAAATATTCGTCTCACAATTTACATGCAAATTGTGCAATTGTTTTTTTCTCATATTTGATGCCTCATGCATGTGCCAAATATTTGATGTGATGTTTTTGGCCAAAATTTTTTTATATAAGCAAAGGCCTTGGCTAGAGAAGAAGAGTTCGGCTTACACCGTGTTTAGATCCTAATTTTTTCTTCAAACTTTAACTTTTTTCCATTACATCAAACTTTACTACTCATATAAACTTTCAACTTTTCCATCACATCGTTCTAATTTCAACCAAACTTTCAATTTTGACGTCATTAGACGTGGAAAAGACCGCGGACAGTTAAAGCCGAGCAACTCAGAATTTGCGTAGACGGGGGCAGCTTGCATTGATGACAGTGAAATTGATGCACCAAAAGTAGTACCAAACCATTTGTAGGTGGGTGGTAGCTGCTCTATAATCTCCTGTCTTTTTCGAGAAACCATTTATAAGTGTGCTTGTGGGTGAAAATGTCAAACATTTGATAATTAAACTGATATTCACATGTCAAAGGGTCCATTCTTTTTTCGGATTGCAGTCACCGGATATTACCAAGAGCACACTTTCCAAACTTCGAAACGGCACGATTTTCTAAAAAAAAACTTGCAACTTTCGGTATTTTTTGCCTGCTATATGACCAATTTTGCCTTTTTTTTATATTTGTGCCCTCAAAAATATATCATAAACCCAATTTATCAATCGCTCGTATCACTTTCAAATGGTCCCTTAGGCTGAGTTAACGCATAATTAACTAAGTACTAGTAAAAGAACTTCAAAATTATATTAATATGATTTTTTAAAGCAACTTTCATATAGAAAACTTTTGCAAAAAAACACACCGTTTAGCAATTTGAAAAGTACGTGCGCAAAAAAAGAGGAAGGTGGGCTGGGAAAGAAGGGGGAAGAACAAAACCTTAGTGTGGTACAAGAGGTGATATTGTCCGAGTTATATATAGGCCTTGTTTAGTTCGCGAAAAGAAAATTTTTGAATGTCACATCAGACGTTTGACCGGATATCGGAAGGGGTTTTCGGATATGAATGAAAAAACTAATTTCATAACTCACCTAGAAACCACGAGACGAATTTATTAAGCCTAATTAATCTGTCATTAGCTCATGTGGGTTACTGCAGCACTTATAACTAATCATGGACTAATTAGGTTCAAAAGATTCGTCTCGCGATTTCCATGCAAACTGTGCAATTACTTTTTTTTATTTATATTTAATGCTCCATACATATGTCTAAAGATTCGATATGATGTTTTTAGAAAAAAATTTGGGAACTAAACATAACCATAGTTATATTTTGGGATAGAGAGAATAGTTGACATGAGAGGAGAAATTCATGGTTGAAGTCATATGTTAGAAAGGTGTACCAAGAGCTACATTTTGTTGTTATTAAACCATCTATTTTATTTGTTTCAAATTACTTACATTCTATTATTTAGTTATTTTTTTAAAAAATACTTGCTATTCTCACAATTCAAAGTATTATTTTTAGAAGTGACCTTTACTTTCTACCCTTCGTCAATGCATCTAGATTGTTACTTCGTCAATGCAGCTACACACAACTGTTAATCGGAGCTAATGGTTGCTTTGGAAACAAATAAGAATGTACTTAGGCTCTGTTCTCTGCTGGCAGTTCCCATCCGGAGCCGTGCGCACGGAAAACGGAGTGATCCATTAGCGCGTGATTAATTAAGTACTAGCTAATTTTTTTTTCAAAAATAATCAATATGATTTTTTTTAAACAACTTTCGTATAAAAACTTTTTGCAAAAAACACAACGTTTAGCAGTTTGAAAAGCGTGCGCGCGGAAAACGATGGAGGGTTGGGAACCCTATGTTCCAAACAGACCCTTAATGGGGTAACGACTTAATTTGCCGCAACTTATTATTTATTTTGAAACTTATTAGAATGACAACCAATCTAAAAAATAGGGTTATATATAATACTAACAGCGAGTATACGAGCTCTTTCTCACTTCTTTTAAGAGGTTTTATACTAACACCTCGTCTCGGTTACAAAACTTTTCTCATCTCAGCCACTTTCATATATAATCGTGTTAACATACGTGCACAAACAATAATCCATCTTTTCCTTCCCTCCCACTCCTCCTAGTGGCACATCACATGCTCGCCTCTTCACCAGCACAATATCCTCCCTGTTCTCGCTGGTGCCAAAAGTCGCAAACGGTGCGGACAAACCCTCGCCGGTGCCGAAAGTTGTAAATGGCGCTGACAAGCCTGCACAAATCCCGATATCCCTACGTCCCCTGAGCCATCCTCCCTCTATTCTCCCCCTCCCCCTCCAAAAAAAAAAAGCTAGGCAGTAGCGAGTGCCCCCATCCACTATATTCCTCATCTCTGTTGGCTTCCCGTTGCTGGTGATGCCATCACCACCCCTTCTCCTGATAACTAGTTGAGATCCCACACCCTTATTGCCTTGTCGCCTCCTATGGCCAATCTAAGCCATGTGAACTTTCTTCCGATCCCCCCCATTTTCCACCCTCTTTTCATGTGATTCTAATGCTGAGCCCTAAATCCTAACTTGTCTGAACGTTCTTAGTCGTCGGAGCCAGAGAAGGAGCCTGCCACTAGGAATCTTTGTTGATTCGATTTGAAGAATATGCAATTAAACCCCCTCCACACACACACCCAAAAAAAATCAAATAAAGGTTAGCAATTCCGTTTCTTCAATCATATTCTTAGCTAAGCTGGTGTGACATTACATACAGGACGAACTAGCGGAGGCCACAATTCATATACTTGGTGCTCCTCGATATTGGTTACTTCACTTGTTTCACAATATTTGTTGGATTTAATGTCACTTTAGAACTGCATGCTTGATCAAACTTGTGCCAATCGCGAGTAGGTTAAATTTGACTGAGAAAATGCTTTTACATACCATACCATAAATTTGTAGTAACTTTACTAGCTAGCTAGCTAGCTAGGTTTTGACGGTAAATTAGAGTAGAACTTACCTGGTGGCCAAAGTTAGGCTCTGCAAATGCCAATGCCGCATAACTTATCTCTGGAGGTTTTGTTATTAGTTTTATCATCATAATCTAGGTGGACAAGGCATATATATATGTAGCTGGGAAAATATTGGTAAACAATTAATTTCAGGGAGCAATTACTCCTATGAGTAGCGACGAATTTTGTTTCAATTATGATATGAAATGATCATGAAAACACTAGTTGAGGACGTCGATAAACTTTATAGTATTAGCTGGTGGCTAATTAATTGCCCACAGAAAAATTAGGCTGTACTTCGGTCTCATGCAGCACACGAAATAAATTGGCGTGTAACATAAAGTTGCTACTATATATTTGTTTTGACATGTCATCGTACCGGCCAGTCCACCCAAACACGTGCCACCTATGAGCGCACGTACGTGCACCATACTTCTAGGTGCTCGTGAAATTTTGTAAGATTCCAATCTTAAAGAACTTTTTTTTTCTCCATGGCCTTTTGAAATAAAATAAAATAAAATTTACCCTTGAAATAAAGTAATTATTTCAATCCGGTACCATTATAGGGAAGATTGGAACCATGCCATTATAATTTTACAAAATTTAAGATATGTCATTCTGACCCACATGTCATCGGCTCATGTGGGTTCTACATGTCATTGAGATACCGATGGCATATTTCAAACTTTGCAAATTATAATGGTATGATTCTAATTTACCCTAGTTTTTACCGGAAATAAATCTATCTAAATCATTTATCTTTTCTAATTCAACGTATCATATATATATATATATATATATTTATACTATTATCTTAACTATTTATAGTAGAATATTTTTTTTCATACTGATAACGGAACTCATAAACTAATGGTTAATATTACTTTTGGTGATAATACTCCGTATAGCTAGGGTAGTAAGGGTCTGTTTAGATCCCACTAAAAATTTTACACCCCGTCACATCGAATGTTTGAACACCCATATGAAGTATTAAATATCGGGTAAAAAATAACTAATTGCACAGATCGCGACTACTTTGCGAGATGAATTTTTTAAGCCTTATTGCTCTATGATTTGACAATGTGGTGCTACAGTAAATATGCGCTAATGACGGATTAATTAGGCTTAATAAATTTATTTCGTGGTTTTACTGATGGATGATGTAATTAGTTTTTTTATTAGTCTCCAAACACCCTATGCGACACCCTATATAATACCAAATGTGACACGTCGAAACTTTACACCCCTGATCTAAACACCCCTAAATGTTATTTTCCCGTGATTTTGAACAGCTCATGTCTTTAATTTGACCTACACCGGAGTTCTGCCGGTGCTGACTACTATGTTTCCTTTTTCTTAGCATAAAAATGCATCGGTCAGCGAAAACTCAAAATCTGGTGGGGGAAAAGGTTAAAGTAAGTTCTTCCTTACTTTAACCGGCAGCCAATCTGCTGGAGTAGTAATTAATTAGCATGTGGTTTAACATTATATTCGGTCAAAATCACCAACATTCTTCCGAAGAGTACCTTTAGATCGTTGAGTAGCATTATTGGCAACGTACTTAACCTTTTGCAAGTTGGCTGTAATTATATTGAAAGAAGAGAATGAGGTCGGATAACAATAAATGCCCACTAGACAATTTCTGCATATGCAGTTTTGTATCGTGATATTTCGTCCTTTGCAAGTTGGCTATAATTGAAAGAAGAAAGAGGTTGGATAATAATTAATATATATACCCATTAGAGAAATTTCTGGTTATGCAATTTTGTATCGTCGTACCCTCTCCGTACTAAAATGTTGTAACCTAGGATAGATCCACAACAAATCTAAACGAAAGTTATGTCATGATACGTTGTACTGGAATGAGGTAAAAGGAAGTATTAATCTGTAAGATTTTGACATGGTATATCCCAACAAGGCTAATTACTACTGTGAACAGATTATGCATGTACCAGATGACGGGCGCCGGTAGCTTAGCTAGCTCCATCAGCTTTCATTTCGTCTTGGTGGAAGAAAAAGAAGTGTACATTCAATTGTAAAGCTGTTTATACACTCCTATAAATATGGCACAAACCTTGTCGTCCAAACCGCGAAATTAATTAACGCTTTACACTAAAGCTCGCAGCCTCGCACGTACGCGGCACTCCTTGTTGCCACGCTGCACAGAGCGCGACGCCGCGCGAGTTGTCGCGGCGACATGAGGAAAGGCGCCGCCGGAATGGCGTGCACTTGCTCGGCGGCGGCGGCGGCCTCCGCTCTTGTGAAGCTTCTTGTTCTTGTGGCGGCGGTGGCGGCGACGACGTCCGCCGGTGGCGGCGACGAGCCGACGTACGAGACCAAGTCCATAGACCCGAGCCTCGCCGTGATGACGCTGCCGGCGCCCGTGACGGGCCCGGAGAGCCTCGCCTTCGACGGCCGCGGCGACGGGCCCTACACCGGCGGCTCCGACGGCCGCATCCTCCGCTGGCGCGGCGGCCGCCTCGGCTGGACCGAGTTCGCCTACAACTCCAGGCACAAGTAAGCTAGCTATATCTATCCAGAAATTTTATGTTCTTAGAAAACTACCTCAAGTTACCTTCAAGTTACCTAAATTATGTTAAAATTTTTGGTAGCTCGATATATAGTATATGAAGATATCAAATTAATTTATTTTTGAGAATTACACACTAAAACATAGACACCCAAAACGCACACACACTCACCCCTTTGGACACACGCACCCAAATCTTAAGCATATTTAAAGACTAGACCGGCAAATAGTTAACATTAATTTTATGATAGATAATATAATATCTCGTGGTATTTTTTTAAGGATTATAAAATTACCCATATCTATGTGTCTAACTGCGCCGCATGCACTAGAACGCACTGACGACTGACCAGCGATTTGTTCACCCACCAGGAGCGTCGGCGTTTGCTCGCCGGAGAAGAAGCTGGTGGTGCCGGAGAGCGTGTGCGGGCGGCCGCTGGGGCTGCAGTTCCACCACGCCTCCGGCGACCTATACGTCGCCGACGCGTACCTGGGCCTCCTGAGGGTGCCGGCGCGCGGCGGGCTGGCCGAGGTGGTGGCGACGGAGGCCGCCGGTGTGCCGTTCAACTTCCTCAACGGCCTCGACGTCGACCAGAGGACCGGCGACGTCTACTTCACCGATAGCAGCACCACGTACCGGAGGAGGTACCCCAAATCAAATCAATCATTCAACCATGTTCATACTGCACAGTGTGCATGCATGCATCATGCAGTTAATCGTGTGCCATGCTAGGTTGCCTGCCCGCCCTGCTTCCTGTCTCCGGAAAATCTGATTATTTTTTTTTCGTTTACATCACGAAGGTATCCGTAAATATCCCAACAGATATAGATGATTTTGTATTTTATCTAACCTTTGCCACGAACCAAAATACATCCTAACATACACTCAATAGACAGGATTAGTAGTAAAGGTTGCTACGATAATTTTATATGTGTTACACTTCTTTTTTGAATGGATATGTGTTACACTTTATTAGTTAGTGTATGGTTTGCTATAACAGTGGTCGTGTTGTTTTTTAAAATTCTATTTCCTCCATCCTAAAATATAAAAATATATTTTTAGTATAAATTTGAACTATAAATGTAGCTATGTTTTTGGACGGGGTATCTGGTTTAGTCGCAACTCAATCTACCAAATAAATAGGCATGTCATATATATTTTGCTTTGGGTAGCTGCAAATGTAGTTATGACACGCGGGCCAATATACCAGTAAAGCATATCTTAAATGTATATCTCAGATTAAATATATACCTAACTAAACAAATTGTGCGCACCTTATCTTGAAATGGTAAATTATGGCAACCAATCAAACTGACCCTTCAACCAATCAAACTAGCGCACCTTTCGTCTTTCGTCTGGCACCTTAGAATTTTGAAACCGTACATTCAACCTCCCAAACTTAACAATACAATTCATATAACCCTCTAAGGTGATTTTTGTTATCTAATTTATATATATATTGGATGAGTTTTACTACGTAACATACACATTAGACATATATGATAGAATTTCCACTTGAATATTTCTTCGCCCTATTTACTCTCACTTACAAACTACCAACATAATACTAGTTTGGCATCACTATAAAGTATAAATCGATGATTGACGATATATATGTTATTTAAAACCGCTCACTTAAACGTCCAGATATACAAAACCACTGTTCAAAATCATTTTAAGAGTAATATAAAAGTTTAGGGGGTTCAGCGTTCGGATTTAATGTATTGGGTATTGATAGACTTTCATCTAAAGTTTATGTGGACGTATGGATTTTTTTTTCTAATTTAGAAACCAGCGTAGTGCAACAGGCACAATAACCGCTAACCACGGCTAAATTTGTAATGAAAACAGATTTTAGCATACAAACTATTGTTATCTTGGCATGCAAATCAAGTAGGTTTATTTATTTATTGCTCTAGTTGTTTGTTGAATATGAGTCAATGTTTTTCATCGTACGCAATTCGTTACTACCATTAATTAAGTATCTTTTGTCCTACAACTGTGCGAGGCAGGCCATGATGCAGTTTTATCCTGCGAATTAATTAAGTAGACAGTAATTAAAATCCTTGGAACAAATGTTTGATGAGGTCTTTTTTTTATCAGCAATTAATGACTGGAAATCATAGGTAATAGCTTACTATTATCCTCTAGCCAAATACTCCCTCCATACTCATAAAGGAGGTCGTTTAGGACAGGGACACGGTTTACAAAGAACAACTTTTGACTTCTTGTTTCTATAAAAATATTTATTAAAAAGTGATATATGTATACTTTTATGAAATTATTTTTCAAGACAAATCTATTCGTATAATTTTTACATTTTCAAACTTAACAACTTGAGAGTTATTTATGATTTATATTTCTAAGGTTTGACTTAAACATTGTCCTAGACGATTTTCTTTATGAGTACGGAGGGAGTATAAACTTACGTGGATGAAAAAGGTATAAAAAAAATTAAGGGTGTTGGCTCTAATATAAGAGCTAACTCAACTCGTGCTCCAAAACAAATACATTAAATGTTATAACTAATATATTATATATGTTACCTGCTTTTAGTTGAACTAATATCTACCGGTGAGCTCTACTATTATGAACTTGTTCCAACGTATGGCCACCAGTTGGCTATGGCATGACCTATTGACCTTTCCCGACATAATGCCCGAAATTCACTAATGTATACTCCAGATTCCTCAACTGTATGCCATCACATCACACATAATCAGACAGATCTCCTGTCTATGTATGCATTAATTCGTGAGCTTGATTGATCCAACTAGCAACCGAATCTAACTCTAAAATTACTAAATGATGAAAGAAAAACAACGATATATATAACGTTTTTGTGTACTGGGAGGAGGTATATTATATTTCGATTTATCTCTTTGCTACTCCATCTGTCCCAAAATATAAACATTTTTAGCTATAAATCTGAACGACTGTATGTCTAGATTATTTGTCCAGATTCATAGCTAAAAGTTATTAGTTTTGGAATGGAGGTGGTATTTAATTAACTTTTGAGCTTCTAAAAGAGTGTACCTATATTAGCGCAAAGTTAATGGAAACTTAAAAAAAACTCTCCAGTAAAAAAATGGAGAAAATTCATCTTGTGCCTCTAAAATTTCACCATGCCCTTGATATCACTTATATTTTCCATAACCCTAAAATTTTCTTGATGCACTATATGCCCCTGATTTTCTTTATCTTTATATATGCCATTTGTTAGTACGTTGACTATTTATTCCTTTTGAATTGATCCTATATTGCCTTTGACATATAACAAAAGCGCATAATTTCCCATATACGGGTTTTTGGTTTATGACATGAAAATAAGTGATAATTTTACCAAAATCACTAAAGTTTCAATTATTTGGAAATTTGAAAGGTAAATATCAATAAACTGGAACACTTAAAATTTTATAGAACCATATTTTTATTAATTTGTTAAAATTTGATTTTCTTTTTTTGCTTTTCAAATTTGATACAATTGTTTTTAAAAAAACTTAGTGATTTGTTCATTTCAGCACATTCTATTAATTATCTCATAATTGAAAAGTATTCTTTAGTTTCTTTTTTGTTGGGGGGGGGGGGTTATCACTCTCGGTTTATGAAGTACTCCTTCTATCCTCAATAATACTCAAACCATAGCATCCATGAAGAATTTAAGGAGGAAGACAAAAGATTAAAATGCCTCTAATTAATAGAAAAGTTTTATCGGTAAATTTGTAGGTGATGGGTACTAAAAGAATAAAATTTCTCAATTTTGCGGACCAATGATAAGTTAGAAGGTAGGAGTTAAGCCCCGTTTAGATCTCACCCCAAAATTTTTCGCCCTGTCACATCAAACGTTTAAACACATGTATGAAGTATTAAATATAGGCTAAAAAATAACTAATTGCACAGATTGCGACTAATTTGCGAGACGAATCTTTAAAGCCTAATTTCTCCATGATTTGACAATGTGGTGCTACCGTAAAAATTTGCTAATGACAGATTAATTAGGCTTAATAAATTTGTCTCGTGATTTACTGACGGATTTTATAATTATTTTCTTATTAGTGCCCGAACACCCATGCGACAGCTATATAATATCCGAGGTGACACGCCAAAATTTTACACTCTTGGATCTAAACACCCTCTTAGTTTATTCTTGGATAAAACTAAAACTCTAAAAGTTGGTTTATTTTGAGACAAAGGGAATAGGAAACATGACTATTCTAAGAAAGTTTAAATGGTGAAAGTTATTCGAGTGGTGAACTCTACCAAAATAAATATGAAATGATCAATATAAAAACTTAGGAGCATATAATGGATTGAACAAAACTTTAATAATAGAACTGATTGGATGAACAATTAAGGTATTTTAATAAAATATGATTAATAAAGTATTAAAACTATTATAACACTTGAAGAAAATGAATTTGTTTGATTAATTTAAGAAACCTTTTTATACATAACCAATCGTTTAGTAGTTCGAGAAGAAGCGTTTAAACGAGCGAGTAGATCAGCTTAATATGATCATTCAAACACAGTCATGGTCGGTGACTCCGTGTGAAGCCACATGGGAATTATTACACCTGCAACTGAACACATTGTCTTTACACACAGACAAGAGCACAGGCTAGATATAAGAAAAGCTGTAAGAAATTGACAAATTGCCAGCTCATTTAGAATATGGAACACTGCATTCATCCGGCCCGCATGTCGTGTTATCAGTAGGGAAACTGATTTCATCTCTCGAGAAAATATCCTCTCGTTTTGTGCATGTCATCTAAATAGTCATAAATTTTATTTTTATAAAAATTGGCAACATAGATTAATATGAAATATATCACTCCACAAACATGTAAGTTTAAATTTAACTTTTACAAGTTGTAAAAAAAATAACAAATATAGCTGCGAATGTACAATAACTATTTTCAGTTTAATTTGATCTGTTTGTTGCAGCTTGTAGAAATTAAATTTGGTCTTGCATGTTTGTGGAGTAATTTATTTCATATTAATATATATTTTCATTTTTTTTCAAATTTTTTAATATCTATTTAGATGACATGAAAACAACGAGGGGATATCCCCTCGAGGGATAAAAATCCACTTCCGTTAGCAATACTACTATTAACTAATCAATGGGCCATCCCATAATTATTGCTCCATTCGTTCTAAAATAAAAATATTTTTAGCATAATATCAAATCGAACATTCCTAACTTTAACTATTAATAGCAAAAAAAAAAGATCAATAACGTAAAATTAATGTTGCTAGATTTAGCATTAAATAAAGTATCATAATATAAAATTCTTTTTATTTAAATCCTCTTATTTTTATAGATAATTATTTATTAAAGTAGCATATCGAAATCTAAAATTATTTATATTTTTGGACGGAAGGAGTAGCAATTAATCAATTTAATAATTTGTAACTGATGGTCTGCAGCCAGTACCTGCTGGTGGTGGCCATGGGTGACGAGACGGGGCGGCTGCTCCGGTACGACGCGCGGCGGCGGCGCGTCACCGTGCTCCACTCCGGCCTCCCCTACCCGAACGGCGTCGCCGTCAGCGACGATGGCACCCACGTGGTGGTGGCCCACACGGGCCTCTGCGAGCTCCGCCGCTACTGGCTGCGCGGGCCGCGCGCCGGCAAGTCGGAGACGTTCGCCGAGGTGCCCGGCTACCCGGACAACGTGCGCCGCGACGGCGACGGCGGGTACTGGGTGGCGCTCAGCCGCGGGGCCGACAATGACGACGTAGCGCCGACCGTGGCCGTGCGGGTGACGGCGGCGGGGAAGAAGAAGGGTGGAGGCGCGGCGGTGGTGGCAGAGGCGCTCGCCGGGTTCAGCTTCGTGACGGTGAGCGAGGTGGCGGAGCAGAATGGCACGCTCTGGATCGGCTCCGTCGACACGCCGTACGCCGGCGCCGCGGTGAGGGGTCGCCGGTGACCATGTTCCGTCGGGCGGTTGGTGGTGCCGGTGTGCGTTGCACGGTGCAGCTACCCTGATTAAATTTCGTTACATTTAGTACATACGATGTGTGGTCTAATCTTATCTTAACTAATTAAAATATTCATATTTTTTCCTTTCGTCACAACAAGAATTTCGTCCGTAAAGTCTTCAGTTTGTGCCCTACGTCCCCGCACGCGCATCGCGTAATACTTTTGCAGATTTTTTTGGCAATATAATCACAACAATTTCCTAATCTACAAAGCCAGGCCCACCATCCAGCCCAAATAGACCGGGTAATCAGTTTTTTTTTAGGTAATCACATCTATTTCACCGTTTTTTTCTCCAATCAACACGGAACACAATCTAATTGGGGCCCTTCTAATGGGCGATCGATTTCCAGCGATTGCGTTGGGCGATCAGTTCGCCCCCCTCCCCCTATACTCCTCCCTCTTCTCCCTCCTTCCTCCTCCCCTTCTTCTCTTCCTATTATAGTACACCACACAAAATTTTTTAAAAAAACAAAAAGTTAGAAAAATTTATGTATAGAAATAATATATATAAAAATTTGAATTCAAATTCAAATTTGAATCAGGTATGTAAACTTTAGACTTGTAAACTTTGGGTCTATAAACTTTAGGTGTATAAAATTTTAGATGTATAGAAATACTACATATAGAAAATATTTGAATTCAAATTTGAATTTGCATTCAAATTCAAATTTGAATTAGGTATGTAAACTTTTAACTTATAAACTTTGGGTCTATAAACTTTAGGTGTATAAACTTTAGATGTATAGAAATATTATATATAGAAAATATTTGAATTCAAATTCAAATTTGAATCGGATATAATTCAAATTCAAATGTGAAACGGGTATATAAACTTTTGACTTATAAACTTTAGGTCTATAAACTTTAGGTGTATAAATTTTAGATGTATAGAAATACTATATATATAAAAAATATTTGAATTCAAATTCAAATTAGAATCGGATATATAAACTTTTGGTCTCTAAACTTTAGATGTGTAAACTTGAGGTGTATAAACTTTATATGTATAAATTTACTAAAATAGAAAAGTAATGCGGTGCCAAAAAAGGAAACCAGGTGGAGGGGTGGAGGGAGGGAGGGGGGAGGGGATTGATCGCTGCCCCATCCCCAGGGCGATCGATCGCCGAACAGCATTCTCGATCTAATTGATCTATTAGGTGGGTTTTGTTCTAGAAAATAAGAGATAACCAAATTTGATTCCATCGATAGAACAGAGTGCCAACCAAATCCTTCCCACGTATTCTCCCCAAAATTAAAATTTCCTAAATTCAAAACCCTAATTTTTAGTTTCCCCAAATCAAGAACCCTAAATTCCCAAAATTGCAAATCCCGAATCAAAACCCCAAATCAGTGCAAACCCTAAAACAGTTGGGGCATAAATCACGGGATCAGGGCTCGCCTGCCTGAGTTGGCCGCACCAGACCGGGGCTCGCCTTGGCGTCGACCCGCTGCGCACCGTGGGCTTAAGCTCCGCTAGAGCCATGCATGGCATCAGCCCGCCACGCACGGGTACACCGCCGCAATTGCCGCTCCGCCGAAGCGTCGTTGCCCCGCCGAAACGCCGCCGCAAGCGTGTTTCGCCGCCAGTAGGGGTATCTCAGCAAGCTCGAGGGAGGTGAATCCACCCAGCGAGCTCAGGGGAAGTGGATCCGTCGACGGCGGGCTCGAGGGACGTCGGAAAAGGGGAACGAGAAATAGCCACCGGAGCTGCCTTTCGTCGCCGGGGTGGAGACCTCTCTGCCCCACACGATGAGGATGAGGAGGAAGACGAAGTGTTTTTCATCTCCCCTGCCTTGAGTGTTGACTCGAGTGAGATGGGTGGAGGGAGAGAGTAAAGTAAGGGCATGTTTAGCTGCGAAAAGAAAATTTTTGGTTGTCACATCGGACGTTTGACTAGATGTTGGAAGGGTTTTTCGAACACGGATAAAAAAAACTAATTTCATAACTCGCCTGGAAACCGCGAGATGAATCTTTTGAGCCTAATTAATCCGTCATTAGGACATATGGGTTACTGTAGCACTTATGGCTAATCATAGACTAATTAGGCTCAAAAATTCGTCTCGCGATTTCCTTCGTAACTGTACGATTAGTTTTTTAAAAATTCAATATTTAATGCTCCATATCTGTGTCCAAAGATTCGATGTGATGTTTTTAGGAAAAACTTTTTGGGAACTAAACATGCCCTAAGGATAAGAACAAAATATAGTCTAGGGAGAGAGATGAATGGAAGAAAGGAGACTACTGCTGCAACTGCTTTCTTAATTTTCCTCACTATCCACTCTGCTCTTTAATTTTGTTTTTTTTCTCTCCGTCTACTCTGCTTTCTTTTTTTCGATATTTGACATCAAAATGTGATTTATAAATGGACAACAATACTACCATAGAAAAAATAATAACACTAATTTATCATTAAACAAACTATCATAATATGCAACTTTTTTATTTAAAATATTTTACTTTTATAGATATTATTGGTCAAATTAGCATATTGAATACTGTGCCAGAGTCTAAAAATGCTTATATTATATTTTGGGACAGAGGGAGTATATAGTACAATTTTTATGTGCCACGGTTTAGACAGTTTAAATCCCCACATTTTTTCACATATCAGAGCACGTTTACATTAAAAAAAATATAATATATGTATCTCGTGATTAGGATACGTCATCAATTCAACTTAACTTATTTTCTTCATGTACCAATTCACGAATATATTCAACAATTGCATTATACATAGCATAAGAAAATAAAATTTCTATGTGTTGAGATTCGGATGTGCCATCAACTCAATTCCACTCATTTTCTTCATGTAAATAGTTCTGATCAAATTTCAGCCACCCTGTTATTACTCGGTGCAACGCACAGGCATTTTGCTAGTATATATTAATTGACTTGATTAGTACGTGTATTTGATTTGTACATTCAAAAATGTATATTCAGATTTAGTCCATCTTTAAAATTTTGTTCATCCATTTATTAGATTAAGTTTATATACATATATATATATATATATACATATATACATATATACATATATATATATATACATATATATATATATATATATACATATATAATCCAGTAAGCTCACAATATTATAACTGTATTTGCAAGGTGAACCCATGGTTTTCATTTTTCAATTCATTTTATCAAAATCCTCCATCCCAAACAGTTTCTTCCCTTTTTTTTGTCATCAAAAGACATATCTTCGTGATTCGTGTGTTTTGGTAGCATTAGAAAAACATTGCTACTTTAAACAGATAAATAAGGTCATGTTTAGGTCGTGTGCCAAAATTTATTTGAAGTATATGGACACAAATTTGAAGTACTAAATGTAGACTAATAACAAAATAAATTATAGATTCCGCTTGTAAACTGTGGGACAAATTTATTAAGCCTAATTAATCCATCATTAGCGAATATTTACTGTAACATCACATTGTCAAATCATGGCGTAATTAGGCTCAAAAGATTCGTCTCGTAATTTATATGCAAACTGTGTAATTGATTTTTTTTATATTTAATGCTCCATGCATGTGTCCAAAGATTTAGTGTGACAGAATTTTTTTGATGTTTGAAAGGAACTAATCACTGCCTAAATAAATGGGCCGTAAGCCGTGCACTCATGGGCTTAGGTTGGGAAACCAAGATAAATCCAGCCTTGTAGATAAACAGGTCTACGGCAACAACGCCCACTGCTCCTCGAGTTCTCGCGCCTTCCGCCGCTGCCGGCTGATAACATCTCGCCGCGCGGCCGTGGCTGTGGCCGGGGACTAGCTCCATCAGCTTTCATTTCGTCTTGGTGGAAGAAAAAGAAGTGTATTCAATTGTAAAGCTGTTTATATACTCCTATATTTATAGTTTTCCTGAAAACTGTAGGTAATAAAAAGTAGCCTCTTTTTAGAGTGACATGATATATATATATATATACACAACGATATATATAGTCCCAGCTGTCATAGGTATTGAATGTCTTAGGATAATATTTGGTTAGTACAGCTTTAATAATCAGTTTTATATTTAAATAAGTTGTATATATAATGTAGTCCATCTGTTTCAAATTACTTGTCCTTCTATACTTGTTTTTTTTCAAACATTTTAATCTTTGATATTAATGAAGAGCCTGGAGTTCCACTCGAGGCACTCAAGACTGTTATTGGTCCGATCTTTCAGTGAGTTGAGATAACTACGATTTGGGAGACACGTTGACGACCCGACTACAACCGTGCAAGACGTTGCGTTGCGCCTTAGCGATCGATACACCTCTCCGTGGGTTGTTGATCTTGCCGGTGCAGATCAACCTTATTCCTGCAAGCAAATCGAAGAAACAAGCAAGAACAGGATAAAAACAATCTGATATTGCAAATAGGAATTGAATACAAATGATAAGTTGGGGTTCTGAATACAAGCAGACGGACGGTCTAGTCGACACGCGCGCTGCAAGGAAGTAGCAATGGCTAAACTTTCATCTAAACAAAACCCAAGAAACCCTGAAGGGGTATCTAGCTATATATAGGGGTGGGAGGACGATCTAGGGGTGCTTAGGGTCGTGCTCCACCTGGTTGGGGCGCACCCCACATGGGCCCCACCTAGGCCGGGGTCCCAAATGAAGTTACAAGCCCATAGGCCCATTATAGGTGACGCAGCACCTTGTTCCTGTGATTCCGGCCACACGAGATGGAATTTGGAGATGAGGCTGGATCTGTTGGAAAGAGGGCTCCGAGAGCTTTCCATCAAGTACTCTCAGGCCAAAAATGGAGGTCGTATGCAGATTCGGCGGCCGTTTGAAGTCAGTAGTGTAGTAGGTGGCCGAATCGGATTCCAGCACTTGACGACTTAATCTCGATATCTTCTTGTTTATCCATAATGTGAGCAATGGTTACATCTGTGGTAGCCATGGTCACATCAATTAATCACTAAGCTCATAACATCATAAGATTTATATTTTTTTTAAGATACACTATGAGAAATACTCTCACGAGATATAACTCATATGTGTTAAACTATATAATTTTCTCTAAAACATAATGGTACAAAATAGAAATATTTAATTTAGAATAAAAATAAATCTAGAACGACAAGCAACATGAAATGGAGGGAGTACGTGATGAGTTTATAACTCTAAAAATACATATTTGTGCGCACCATATTTTTGAACAAAACATTTTAGAAACTACAAATGATAATTTTTTTTTAAAAA